TTATTCTGCCTCAGCCTCCTGAGTAGCTGGGACTACGGGCATATACCACCACACCCAGCTAATTTTGGTATTTTTAGTAGAGACGGGGTTTCACCACCTTGGCCAGGCTGGTCTCAAACTCCTGACCTCGTGATCCACCTGCCTTGGCCTCCCAAAGTGTGGGATTACAGGCAGAGCCATCGTGCTCAGCCTTTCAGGCTCCATTTCTAATTCTAGTTCCCTTGTAGCTCTACCACACCTGCAGTTACTTCTACTAAAGTCTGGAACTCCTCAAACCCATCCATGAGGACTGGAATCAACTTCTTCCAAATTACTATTCATGTTGGTATTTTAACCTCCTCCCACAAATCATGAATATTCTTAATAGCATCTAGAATGGTGAATCCCTTCCTGAAGATTTTCAATTTACTTTGCCCAGCTCCATCAGAGGACTCATTCTCCTTGGCAGCTATAGCCTTACAAAATGTATTTCTTAAATTAAGTCTTGAAAGTCAAAATCACTCCTTGATCCAGAATGTAGAATAGATGTTGTGCTAACAGGCATGAAAACAGTATTAATCTCCTGTACATCTCCATCAGAGCTCTGAGGTGACGAGGTGCATTGTCAATGAGCAGTACTTTTTCCCCCTCAGATGGAGTCTAGCTCTGTTGCCCAAGATGGAGTGCTATGGTACAATCTCAGCTCAGTGCAACTTCCACCTCCTGGAGTCGAGCAATTCTCCCATCTCAGCCTGCCAAGTAACTGGGACTACAGGCGCACACTGCCACACCAAGCTAATTTTCATATTTTTTGTACAGATGTGTTTCATCATGTTGCCCAAGTTGGTCTCAAACTCCTGGGCTCAAGGGATCTGCCCATCTTGGCCTCACCAAACTGCTGGGATTACAGGTGTGAGCCACCACGCCTGGCAGAGCAGTGCTATTTTGAAAGGAATTTTTCTGAGCAGTAGGTCTCAACAGTGGGCTGAAAATATTTAGTGAACCATGCTGTAAACAGATGTGCTATTATCTAGGCTTTATTGTTCCATTTACGGAGTGCAGGCAGAGTAGATTCAGCATAATTCTTAAGGTCTCTAGAATTTTTGAAATGGTAAATGACCATAGGCTTCAACTGAAAGTTATCAACTACATCAGCCCCTAACAAGAGAGTCAGTCTGTCCTTTGAAGCTAGGCATTGACTTCTCTCCTCTCTAGCTACAAAAGTCCTAGTTGGCATCTTCTTCCCATGGAAAACTTTTTTCTCTACATTGAAAATCTATTGTTCAGTGTAGCCGCCACCATCCATTATCTTAGCCAAATCTTCTGGATAACTTGCTACAGCTTTAACGCCATCAGCACTTGCTGCTTCCTCTTGTACTTTTATATTATGGAGCTGACTTCTTTCCTTAAACCTCATGAACCAACTTCTGCTATCTTCCAACTTTTCTCCTGCAGCTCCCTTGCCTCTCTCAGCCTTCACAGAATTGAAGAGAGTTAGGGTCTCCTCTGGACTAGGCTTTGGTTTAAGGGAATATTGTGGTTGGTGTGATCTTCTATCCAGACTTCTCAAATTTTCTCCATATCAGCAATAAGACTGTTTTCTTTTCTGACTGTGCATTCACTTGAGTAGTATTTTTAATTTCCTTCAATAACTTTTCCATTGCGTTCACAACTTAGCTGTTGGGTGCAAAAGGACTTGCTTTCAGTCTATCTCAGCTTGCAATATGTCTTCCTCATTAAGCTTAGTAATTGCTAGCTTTTGATTTGAAGTGAGAGATGGGCAACTCTTCCTTTCACTTGAGCACTTAGAGGCCATTGTAAGGTTATAACTGGCCTCATTTCTGTATTGTTTTGTCTCAGGGAATAGGGAGGCCCAAGGCCGGGGGAGAGATGAGGGAATAGCAGGTCAGTAGAGCAGTCAGAACAAACACATTTATCAAGCTTGCTGTCTTACATGGGCACAGTGATTCATAATGCCTGAAAACAATTACAGTGGTAACATCAAAGATCACTGGTCACAGATCACCATAACAGATATAATAATGAAAATGTTTTAAATATTGCTAGAATTACCAAAATGTGACACAGACACACAAAGTGAGCACATGCCATTGGAAAAATGATGCCAATAAATTCGCTCCACATAAGGTTGCTACAAACCTTCAGTTTGTGAAAAATGCCAACATCTGCAAAGCACAATAAATCAAAGTGCAGTAAAATGAGGTATGTCCATACTTAGGCACATACAAAATAACCAACAGATAGGCTTTATTCATTGCATTGGTGTTGGCAATAGCCAAAGATTAGACAGTCTATGGATAAAATACAGATTTAAAACTACAGTTATTTATACAATGGAAAACTGTGCAGTTGCAAAATGCATGAAAAAACTTTACAAATTCACACAAAAGGATCACTAAGATATATTATTAAGTGAAAAAATAAAATGCAGAAGAATATTTTTGCTACCACTTGTATATAAAGGTAAGAAGAAAAAAAGTTGTGTGTCCTGGCTTGTTATTATTAAGGATTATTAAGGATTATTAAGAACCCAATACCAGGAATCACTCATTGTGGGAACTGAGCTGAGCAAATATAGAAATGAGATGAAAGGATATCATCTTATAATTCTTGATAGTTGAGGCCTGGGAATGTATTACATACTCAAAAAATTAAACAGAAAATTTTATTTTAAAACAGAAACTTGATAAATTTGATAATAAGATGAAAGCACATTATCCTTTATCAACACAAAAAACTGAAAGGCAATTACAAACTCCAGAAAGGGAGAAAAATAATAAAAAGCTATACCTACAATAAAGTTCTTGTCCAAACTGGAAGCAAACTAAAATTCATCGTGATTTGTGCAAATGGCATGCTATATGCAAAGAGAATCTATTTAACCTTGATGCTTGGGATGGCATTCAGGACCCATCTATTCCCTGATTTCCAGATTCTTGAACAGTATAGTCACATCACTGGGTGCCCATTTAAATTCAGCCCAGCCTGTTACACCCTTGGTGAAACTAAGACCAATAGCATTCAACAGGGAAGATACCAATGGGAAAATCACTGTTTGGACCAGCCACCTTGTCTTTCTGTATAAAATCACTAAACTGAAAAAAAAAAAAAAAAAAAAATCACTAAACTAGGCCAGGCGTGGTGGCTCATGCCTGTAATCCCAACACACTGGGAGGCTGAGACAGGAGGAGTACCTCAGCCCAGAAGTTCAAGACCAGCTTGGGCAACACAGCAAGACCCTATCTATCTCCTTTTTTATAAGTAAATTTTTAAAAATTGCTAAACTGTTAAAAATAAACCTAACTATTAAACTTTTTTTTTCTTTAAAAGTTTCACACTTCTCCATCTGACATTGTCATAATCTAAAAACTCAACCTTGCTTTGGTCATTCTACCAGCCCTACCAGGCTCTGGGGAGACAAGAATGATTCAAAAAGTCAATGGAATAGTATATTCATCTGATGAAAAGCTCCTTGGCCAAGAACAACATTGTTTACCTTCTTACTGCAGTCTCAGTCTGTGATAAGAGAAGAGGAGGTACATGCCAGAGGGTTTCATCTCATTTTCACCACTCTCCTGGAGTTCCAAGAGGAGCCACCCAGATTCTCTCCACCTGACTCAGAGAGCATATGGGAATTCCACGCGTACAATGAAAGCCTTAATTTGTAGATACATGTATGTGATTACAGCATTTTATCATGGAATAGACTCAAGAGCAGGGGCCAGCAAACCACAACCCATGGACCAAATCTGTTTTTATAAACATAGTTTAATTGGAACACAGCCACACCTGGTCATATACATATTATTTATGGCCCTTTCACACTGTAACCACAGAGTTGAGTAAAAGTTTGCTGAAAGCTGCTTAAGAGTGTCCTGGACTGGTAACCAGCCAATTTCCACTAACAAAATCAAACAGTTATAACACATGTAGCTTGACTCATCATCACTAAAAACTGTTTAGCCGTGTCTGTGTGTGTGTACATATACACACACATATAGATGTATGGTAGCACGCTCTATTACAAAATAACAATAAGATCACTAATAAAATGTTCATTCAAAGAGACTATAATAATCTTACCCTCATTTTGCTTTCTCGCAAAAATCCAATATATTTCACATACCTAAGGGAGGTAGCATCATTTAAGGGACAAAGACTTCCAAGTTAGATAGACCCAGTTAAAATCAATTCTCTCATATTCTGAGTGCAGAGCCCTGAAAGAGTCTTTACCTTCCTTCAGCTCTAAATTCCCTTCTCTGGATCATGGGAATAGTCTTACCTGCCTTACAGGGAGGATCAATGGGATACCACATGCAAAGTGCCCTACAGGTAATCAACACTCAGTAATTGGTGATTGTTAATGTTACTACATCCATCTTCATCTGCCTAAATCCCACTCTTTTTTTTTTTGCTTTTTTCATTCCTGGGCCATATTACCCAAATTTTATTTCCTTTAATTATTGACAATTTATTTTATTTATTTATGCCCTTCCTCTTATCTGTATTTACATACTTTTGTTTTGTTTTTTGAGACAGAGTCTCGCTCTGTCACCCAGGCTAAAGTGCAGTGGCGCGACCTCAGCTCACTGCAATCTCCACCTCCCAGTTTCAAGCGATTCTCCTGCTTCAGCCTCTTGAGTAGCTGGGATTACAGGCACATGCCACCAGCCCAGTTAATTTTTTTTGTATATTTAGTAGAGATGGGTTTCACCACGTTGGTCAGGCTGGTCTCAAACTCCTGACCTCATGATCTGCCCACCTCGGCCTCCCAAAGTGCTGGAATTACAGGTGTGAGCCACGGCACCCGGCAGATATTTTTTTTTTTTAAGAACTGGGGTATCGCTTTGTCTCCCGGGCTAGAGTGCAGTGGCTCGATCATAGCTCACTGCAGCCTGTAACTTCTGGGCTCAAGCCATTTTCCTTTCCTACTTCAGCCTCCCAAGTAGCTGGGACTATAGGTGTACGCCACCATGGCTGGCAATTTGCTTTACTTGTTATAGAGACCAGGTCTTGCAATCTTGCCCAGGCTGATCTCAAACTCCTGGGCTCAAGCAATTCTCCCACCTTGGCCTTTCAAAGTGTTGAGATTACAGTCATGAGCCACCCCTCCTGGCCAGGTATTTATTTAACTTCAAATTACTGAGGGCTGGAAGCTTCAGTAAGTTGCCATTAACTAATCAGAGAAAAGATGTAGTTATCTGAAATATTTTATTTATATAAATATATATATAATCTTTCAGATATCTTTATATATTTTTTATTAAAAACAAAAAATTTTGAAAAACTTCAATTCCTTTTTTTGTCCAATGCCCACTCAGATACTTTATATATTTTTAAGTATAAAAATATACATATGCCATTTTTTATATATGCACACTTCAAAATTAATAGCTAATACTATAAAAATACAAAGAAATCTTCACACCCTATGAATGAAGAGGAATCCAAAAATCAGAACAATAAATATGGAAAATGACTCTGAAATTCTTAGAGATACTTGTTTCAATAATGTAAAGATTTGGGTTTCTACACTTATATGAGAACAGAAAAGTCCCTTGTGATACTGGGAGCTGGAACTGAGATATCTACACAAAGCTTGATATCGTCCACGGAAGAAAAAACTACCCATCAGCATGCAAGTTGCATTAGTTCGTTTTCAAATTGCTTTAAAGAACTACCTGTGACTGGGTAATTTATAAAGAAAAGGGGATTGACTCACAGTTCAAAGAGGAAGCAAGGCATGTCTTACATGGTGGCAGGAGAGAGACAGAGCACAAAGGGGGAACTGGTATACCTTTAAACCATCAGATCTTGTGAGAACTCACTTGCTATCATGAGAATTACATGGGGGAACCACCTCCATAATCCAGTCATCTCCCACCAGGTCCCTCCTTCGACTCATGGGGATTACAATTTGAGATGAGATTTGGGTGGGGACACAGAACCAAACCATATCACAAGAATTATGAAAATGTTTGTGAGTCTTTGCTTGGGCTCCAGGTTAAAAAGGAAAACTCTCAACAACTTAAAAATGTGGACCAACACCATACATTTGTTTCAACTTCAAATTTACATTCTCCATGTGATAAGGATACCAAAGATGTCCGATGTCTAAAAATAATTATTTTAGTTATGTTTGTTAGCTCATTTTCAATGGATTTTCATCTATGGAAATTCTGCTAAGTTGAGAAATTAACATAATCTGGTGGAAGCACAAAACTACCCTTGAGGAACATTCCGTCAACACAGGCTGCACAGAATTCTGACAGAAAAAGCAATATAATCAACAGGAATCATAGATATAGTCTGCATCCACAAAATAAGTACTCTTATAGTTATTAAAGATGAGGACTTCTATAGAAAACCCAGAAATAAATCCATACATCTACAGTGAACTCATTTTTAACAAAAGTGCCAAGAATATACATTAGAGAAAGGACACGTAAATGTGGCTGGGAAAGCTGGATATCCATATTCAGAAATATGACGCTATACCCCTATCTCTTACCATATACAAGAATCAAATCAAAACTAATTAAAGACTTAAATCTAAGCCCTCAAACTAAGAAACTAATGAAAGAAAAATTGGAGAAACTTTTCAGGACATCGGTCTGGGCAAAAATTTCTTGATTAGTACCCTACAAGCACAGGCAACGAAAGCAAAAATATACAGATGAGATCACATCAAGTTAGAAAGATTCTGCACAGCAAAGGAAACAGTCAACAAAGTGAAGAGACAACCCACAGAATGGCAGAAAACATTTGCAAATTATCTATCTGACACAGCATTAGTAACTAGAATATATAAGGAGCTCAAACAACTCATAGGAAAAAAATCTAATAATCTGATTTTAAAATGGGCAAAAGGTCTGAATAGACTTTTCTCAAAAGGATACATACAAATGGAAAACAGCTACATGAAAAGGTGATCAACATTACTGATCATCAGAGAAATAAAAATTAAAACTACACTGAGATACTATCTCACCCCAGTAAAAATGGCTTTTATCTAAAATACAGTTAAAAAGGAATGATGGTGAGGATGTGAAGGAAACGGAACCCTCATATACTGTTGGTGGGAATGAAAATTACTACAACCACTATAGATACAATATGGAGGTTTTTCAAAAAACTAAAAATAGGACTACCATATGATCCAGCAATCCCACTGCTAGGTATGTACCCAAAAGAAAGGAAATCAGAATAGTGAAGAGATATCTGCACTCCCATGTTTATTGCAGCACTATTCACAATAACCAAGATCTGGAATCAACCTAAGTATCCATCAGCAGACTAAGAGATAAAGAAAACATAATACATATACACAATGGAGGGTTATTCAGCCGTAAAAATGAATGAAATCCTATCATTTGAAACAACATGGATAGAACTGGATGACATAATGTTAAGTGACATAAGCCAGGCACAGAAGAGAAAAGCTTTGCATGTTCTCACTCATTTGTGGGAGGTAAAAATTAAAACAATTGAACTTGGAGATAAAGAGTAGAATGATAGTTATCAGAGGCTGGGAATGGTCATGGTGGAAGAGGGAAGTGAGTATGGCTAATGGATACAAAAAGACAGTTAGATGGAATGAATACAATCTAGTATTTGATAGCACAACAGGGTGACTACAGCCAAAAATAAAAAAGAAATTTAAAAAGATAAGGATGTCTACATTTGGTCGATATGGATACTCCCTCCCATCTGAATTGAGAAAAGGACAAAACACATGAAACCATTATTTTCAGATGTTGAACATCAGGCAGTTCTGGACAGTGACATCTGAGAGAGGGAAAACAGAACATTCTAGCTTACTGCCTTGAAGGAGTTTCCAAGTCACTACACAAGAAGAGAGAATCCAGGCAGAGGTTATCAGTCTCCTTGAGCTGAGAAGAAACAGCTGGAAGATAGGGAGGCTAAGGTGGCTAGACCCCACAGGACGGAGCACCAGAAAAGAGAGGGGCACATCAGGAGCGAGCTCCAGAGATCTTCAAAGCCTTACGTCTTCAGCTGAGGACAGATCAGAGAATGTATGTGAGGAAACTACCCAAGGACGAGGAAAGAATTAACCAAAAAGAGCACAAGAAAAATTTCCAGAGCTCACACAGAGCCGGGAATAGTTCATATTCCTACCAGCCAGCATGGAAATCCTCATAATTCAAGGACATTGAGTAAAGTACTTAAAAGGATATCATCTCGCTAGTGATATCAAGATTTAGAACGAAGAAATCTGCCAAGGATAAAGAGGGATATGTAAAAATAATGATGATAATGATGATGGTGACGATGATGAAGGGATCAATTCAACAAAAGGATGATGAGTTGAGAATATACAGATGAGAGTCTAGAGAAGCCAAGATGGCTAGCATTTGCAGGACAGAGTACCAGAGAAGAAAGAGTATCACAGAACAGGGGATCTGTAGAGGGTACCTATAGGAAGACAGCCTGTTATACACCAAGACTGATGCCATCTTGAAGTGAAACTGCCGTGATGATCACTGTATGACCCCAACATACCAAGGTGTTCTGCAGTAAAATCTTTAAGCAATGCCTCTAGCATAGATAATCCCTCATAAAGATGCTTATCTAATCTTCCCCATGGTTGCAAGTTTTGCAAGAAAATTTGAGGCATGATGAACTGCACATTTCTTTACGTTAAAAACTTGCTACATAAAGGACATCTTCTGGAGGGCAGGTGTGGGGAGTCCACCATCTCGCAGCTGCCAGAGACCACTTTTATTTGCAAGCTCCCTTTAAAAGTTTCTTTCTGAGAAACTAGATTTGTCAGCATTTTTCTTCAGCCTATCAGCTCCCTCGCCCTTTGGGGGTAGGTGTGCATGTACTTGCTCACTGTGGAACAGTACCTTTGAGTATTCAGCTGAGTATAATAAGCACACATGTGTGGGAAAACTAGACAAGGCTGGGGAAAGAAACACCAAAAGCTTTAGAAGTAACATTGTCCAGTGCTCACATACAGCTGGACATGATGCCTTTCCCCTTCAGCCAGACTGAAAAACTTTATGATCCTCAGAGTGTAAGATAGAATACACAGATCAGTCTTGCCTCAGTAGTGGAAAAGAATTAGTCCTCTACTGAGTACTGCTCCAGGTTTACATAATAAATCTGAAAGGCATAACCTGAAAAGATCAAATGCAAGTAACTTAGCTGTGTCCCAGAACAAAGAGTAATAACATTTTATGGAAACACAAAAATACACATTAACCATCACGGAAAAATTCACAATATCTGGCATCCAATAAAAAATTCCTAGATACAAAAAAAGGAGGGAAATATGACTTGGAATGAGAAAAAATAAATTGAAAACAAACCATAACTGATAATAGATATTAAATATAGCAGGCATAGCCATTAAAAGTTACAACTATATGCCACATGTTTAAAAAGTTAAGTAGAGATATGGAAGATATAAAAAAGAACCAAGCAAAAAAAGAAAACTACAACGCGTAATGGCAAATACATCGGATAGGAATAATGACACATTAGATTTTGCAGAAGAAAAAATTAGTGAACCTGAAGATGTAACAATAGAAACTATGCAAATTAAAAAAAAAAGAGAGAGAGAGAGAAAAGAGAATTTTTAAAAAATGAGCACAGCATCAGTGAGCTACAGGAAAACTTCAAGTGGCTTAACGTACTTGTAATAAAATCAGTAAAGAAGAGGAAACATAGGAGCAGAAAAAATGTTTGAAGAAATAATGATCATAATTTTTCTAAATTTGATAAAAGTGTTAATCCTACAAGATCCAAGAATCTCAAACTCTAAGCACAAGAAATAAGAAGAAAAGCATCCCAAGGCCCATCATAATCAAATTGTTCAAAACCATGATGATTTTAAAAAGCAAACTTAAAAGCAGCCAGGTTAAAAAAAATAATAAAAATCACCAATATGTAACATATGAGGGAACAAAGATAACTCTCCAGAAATGATGTAAGTGGAAAGACAATAGACAACAGCTTCAAATGATGAAAAAAATTAACTGTCAGCCTCAATCTTTATATTCAGCAAAAATATCTTTCAAAAA